AAAGCCTAAGAAATGGCTTTGTAACCCTGTCCAAACTGATAAATGTCAATGGCATGTTAGTTTCTCAGCTGTTTCCTTAGATCATGAAATGATGTGTTATTTCTAGAGATTTTTTTAGAGATCTGCTTCACTTTGTCAGACAGGTTCTCTTTAAGTGATTTCTTGATTCAGCAGGACTGGCAGTAATCAGGCCTGGCTGTGGCTAGTGAAATTGAACTCAGCTTTCCAAAAAATGTGGTTAATCACAGTTAATTCATGACTTAACAAGAGGGAGCCATTACTTTTTCATATAGGGCCAGGTAGGCTATTTTCTCCTAATAGAGGAAACCATTATTTCAAAACTGCATTTTCACAAGTAATCTTTGACTAATATTAAAATGTGTTTGCTGATCTAAAACATTTAAGTGTAACAAATATATAATAAAAAAAACCTAGGAAATCAGGAAAGAAGCAAATACTTTTTCACAGCACTGTGCATCTTTTATATACATCTTGTTCTCATGGAACAATATTATCAATCATTTGAAGTATTTCCGAATTGAAAATCCAGTGATAGCTGACATGCTGACTCCAAATGTGTGCTACATCAAAATTCAAATGATATCTCATCAACACTAATAATATACAGTCATTTTTCTTTGCAACATTATATTTAATAGAAATAACACATATACATCTAGCTTTTGTTTTGTAGCAAAGGCAAACTTGATAAATAGGTTAAAATAGATGGTCAGAAGAGGTTGCGTTTTTATTAAATACTTTCAGAATGAAGGCAAGTCATTAAACAGCGATGTAATGATAACCTATGAGATATACAAACTGGACTAAACTGCTACATGAGAGCTTGTGGATCTCCCTCAGGTCTGAATAGAATAAAACTGCAACTATACTTGGATGCAGAGACTAAGACAGATCCTGGCCTCGTTCACTAACTGGGCTGGCTGCCATCCCTACTATGCACACTCACAGACACACACATACACACACAGACTGCTTGCTGGATGCCAGACAGGCAGTGCTCTAAATGCCTTATCATGATCAGAGTGTCTTCCCTTATTAGGCTTTGGCCCCTGCCTTCTCAGAGCCAAATGAAACGAGACATTGCCTCACTGCTGTCCGTAAAGGAACAATTAGCCTACAGCTAATCCCATTAGCCAGCCTGTAAACGCTGCTCACGTTTTCCATTCAGGCTAATCGAAGGCCCCTTCTCTACATATCTGAATAGCCATCCATCATGTGTAAGTGTATATGGAGGGTTGAGCTGCTTCGCTTTGACTAGGGGCCAACCTCACTGGAAAGATTAATGTTGCTGGCAAAGTGTAGAAGAGCGTGTCATCCAACTGTGTTTAGGTCATAGTAGAACAGTGAAGATGAAGATAGAGATAGTTTATAACCTTTTCAAGTGGGGCTTTGTGTAAAAGCTGAGCACCTACAGCACAATATCTATGAGCATAAAGCAATCAACCTTTGCTTATAAAGAAAGTGCAGATCAGAAATTGTCTTCTCGACCGTGACGAAAACTGCGAGAAGTAAACTTTTCGCACGAGCAAGTTCTTAACTGAACTTGCTTGTGACACGATGGCATGTTTCATCATCTCACCATCACCACTGGAGATCGGGGTGGCATCGCACTTGCTCTCACACTGCTGCATGGTGGCTGGTCGGAGGGACTCTACGCAGTCATTCGATGGCTGTCCTGTGTAGGACAGACACTGTACCGTCCTCATCTGCTGGCCCAGACCACACTGTGCTGAACACTGAAACAAAGAGCACCAGACCAAAAGTCACTGTCAGCGCAACACCATATTTAGCCAGTAAATTTAACAAGTTAAATGAGGACCATCTTTTCTCTGTGACCCTGAATGCTAGGCAGGGAGTCTGCTCTCCCTCATGGACCTCCACACACATAGTAATCCCGGCACATGCACACATACACTGTACGACCTGATCCAATCAAACAATCACCGGGGCACAAAGGGAGGGAGCACACAGAGCCAACCAGAGTCACCTTCCTCAATCTGAATTCATTTTCCTAAATTTGAGCAAACAGGTCAAATGAGGTTGAAAAGGTTACCTTTTGGCATTCTCTTAACTTTATACTTGTTGTGAGTCTTGTTTTCCTTTTCTTTCCCTCTGCTCATTTCTTCTTCACCCTCTGAAGGCTTTTGCAACATCTTTTTTGAAAACTGCTTGTCAAGGGATATTTTGTGCACAAGTATATTAAGGGTTTAGACTGGTTAGTAATTCTGCTCATGATCACAAAAAGAAACGTGAAGCTCTCTTCAAGCTTTTTTCCCCCACATTTAACTATTATTACATTTATTTATTTGCTTATAATAATTTGTATCAAAAATCTTATTTGCAAAAAAACAAAATAAAGAAAGACATTCCCAAACAAAAATGTGAGAAAGATAGCAAAGTTTGTTGTTTTTATGCTTGCCACGTGTGCTGAGCTTGATGTCACATCATATTTGTAACGCTTCAGTCACTTGTGCACCTCTCGATTTTTGTAACCTAGCACAGGTTGCAGACACCAGTGTAAGATTGTGTCAGTTTTTACCCCATTTTATTATATTCCCGTGAATTATATGCCAGCAAAAAAACCCCAAAAAAACCAAAAAAACCCCGAAATAAACACACACACAAAGTCTTTGCTTCAGGTTTGGATTTCTTCTCTTCCTAGCAGTATCATCTGAGTGGGGAAACCTACTGTTCAGGAGAATGCTGCAACGGCTTCCTCCGAATGAGCGAATGAGGCGGTGCAAAAAGCGATCAATACAGAGGGTATACTGGCACCTAGAGTGGCTTGATATAGGTTTGGGCAATAGGACAGCTGTAATGGATATCAGCCAGTTGGTCAATTTACTTTTTTTCCTAATTTTTTCTTGTTGTTATACTGAAATAAATCTTAAAATCTGCCTTGTATCTAAAGGGCAATCAAAAACATTTGACTAACAGGAACACATCTGTTTCTGCTGCAATACTGAAATTGTTTGGAGTTTTATTGCTAAAAATTATTATTATTATTGTTAAATCATGAAGACATGAATCATGAGGCATCTTGAAGTTTTTTTGTTTTATTTTGGGTTCTTTTGTGTCACTGATGTTTTAATTTTGGTAGGCTGACCACTGCTGGGAAGATTTAGCACTGTTCCAAGTTTTCTCCATTTGTGGATAATGCCTCTCACTGTGGTTCACTGGAGTCCTAAAGCCTAAAAGCCTAACAAACAGCTTTGGAACCCTTTCCAAACAAATGCATTTCAATGTCTCTGTTTTCAGCTGTTTCTTGAGATCGTGGCATGATATGTTGTTTTCTAAGACCTTTGAGCCTAGGTTCGATTTAAGTGATTTCTTCATTCAACAGGTCTGGCAGTGATCAGGCACAGGTTCGGCTGGTGAAACTGAGCCCAACTTTCCAAAAAAAAAAAAGAAAAAAGGGGGGGGATCCAATTACTTTTTCACGCAGAGCCAGGTAGATTTGCATAGATTTTCCCTTAATAAATAAAATCACAATTTAGAAATTATTTTGTGTTTATTTGGGTTATCTTTGACTAATATAAAATTTGTTTGACGATTTAAAACATTCAAGTGTGACAAATATGCGATAAACAAAGAAATCAGGAAGAGGGCAAATACTTATTCACAGCACTGTATGATGATGATGATGATTGCAGCATCCTTTCCAGTAAAAAAAAAGAAAAAAAAGAAAAAAAAAATCCAGCCAAGTGAAGAACGCTCTTAAGAGGCAAGCATATAAGTATCCAAGTCCTCCATGATCCACGATGAAAACACTTAATGAGAGCAAATAAAAGCCATTGAACAACTGATGTTCCAAAACATATTGCATCAATGTTACGCACTGACATGCATGACTTGTCTAATGGTGCTGGGAGACTAGTTCTCATTGAATGATTTTTTTTTTTTTTTGGCAAACTTAAGATCAAATGACCCAAGAAAAAAGAGAAGCTGCAGTAAAGGACTGGCAAAGTAGTCGCAAAGGACGAATCCCATTTTTTAGTGATTTCTATTAGGTTCAGGCAGGAAGCCTGAAAGATTCTCCAAGAAGTATGAGTTTTTTATTTATGAATACGGTAAATTGTCCAAATTAAAAATGGCTGCAATTCAACAAAGATTAATGTGATATTAATGTCCCACTGCTCAAACTACAGCAGAAATTCTGCACTTTAAGGCTGTACTCATAATATAACTGTAAATTTGCTTTGTTGGTGCATAAAACGTTTGCTTTGGTAAACACAAAATGCGCTCCTGCCTCTTTATATGCTAGTTGTTATAAAAAGTGAGATTGGCCTTGTGGGCAGCCGCTAATCTCCTTTGTAGAAGGAAAAAAACCAGACAGAAACAAACTAGTAAAACTAATAAAAAACAAAAGGTGTAGGTGCCAGCACACTTTCGACTCTATAATGGAATTGTTCATCTGAGCTGATGCTGGAAAGGCTGAGAAAAAACACACCTGTGAGCCATAACTATGTGTGTGTGCTCATATACGAGTGTGTGAAATAAACCCAGTCACCCCCCACCTCTTTCTGTCACCTTCACAGATTCTCTCTGGCTGCCTTAGATCAGTGAGCCTGCATGTCATCCCTTCCCAATTAGAGAGTCTTTATTAGGGCCCGCTGCAAGCTATGACAGATGGCGTACGTCAGTGGTGTAACTTTAGTAGGATTTGAACTGGAGACCTTTTGGCCTGGGAGACTGGGATCTTGGTAGCTGGCAACAATCCCCCCTTTCTGGCACTTTGAGGGTCAGCTGGCCAGAGAGGGACGAGAGTAGTGGAGGCTAAGCTTGTAATTACAGCCAGAAAAACAGAATAGGTGGGGGAGAGAGTACACACACACACACACACACACACACACACACACACACACACACACTTCGACAGTGTGTCAGAAAGCGCTGTGTAAGGGCAGACTCCAGCTGTTGGTCTATGAGGTATTAACTTTGGCTCAGCATGGCAAGAAGCCTGTCCTTTGATGAACTATGTTGAGGTTAACATTTTGGTCTGCTTTGTTTATGGCTCAGACTAAATTGTAAAGGTGTGTTATCGATATTTGTGTGTGTTAACGGGCATGTGGCAGATATGAAAAGAACCCAGAAAGCTATGACTTAAACTGCCACACTCTCAACCTTTGACTTCTGACCTGATCAGCACAGCTGAAACCATGACATCACCTTCATCAGAGCGCACAATCCTTGCACAATTGCCTTCTAAACATCAGAGCACACTGTTTAAAATTCCACTTCTACACTGAGTTACTAACAAATCCTACAAAATAACAAGCCATACTTTTTGTAGATACAACTATCTCTGACGCACGACTTTTTGGCGTCCTCTCAGCAATATGAGTCAGCTGTGTTGTAAAGTGTTGAGCAGCTTTTTCAGAGCATACTAAGTCATATCAGGGTGAGCCCAAAACTTCTATTCCTCTGTCTTCCTCAAAACCCTGTTCCTGGAAGTGACAGAGAGGCCTCGTCTGGGGTGCAGATAAACTTCAAACAGCCAAGAAGATATTACTGCTGCCGATCACATACTCCAGGCCTGTTTTAACTCTTGGAATCACAAACACAGCCTCTATGCACTCACATGCGTCACAGGCCTGATTGGAATCCCCAGTATTTCATCCAGGTGTAAATGATACAAATCATTCACCTACACATGGAGTTTTATCTATGGAAACTTTGTCTTTTAAACATGCCAGTAGGATTAACCACCATACTGTTGTGGAAGAAGTTAGAGAGAGACAAGGTCCTACCTGTCCCCATTCACCAGGGATCCAGCGGGGAGGAGGACAGCGCCCTAAAGTGCAGCGCATTCGGACTTGAGGTTTGTTATGGATCGAGCAGCGGGCAGGCGGAAAGGTCTTGGTGAGGTCGCTGCTCTTACACAAGGCAATGCGGTGCTTAAAGCCAGGACCACATTTAGGTGTGCACTACAGAGGGAAGGAAAGGTGTTAAACACATATCTTGACAGTGCAATGAGTTACAGAAAAACACTTATTATTACTGGCCTTACCTCGGACCAATCCAGAGTGACCCACTTTGGAGGACAGGACTGGTTGTTGCAGGACTCTCTCTCGATAGGCCGATGAGTCAAACAGTGAGTGTCCTCCAGTGTCTCCTCCTCAGCGGGACCAATCTTCCTGATACAGAGGACTGTCCTCGTCCTTATCCCTCCATCGCACGTCTTCGGACACTCTGACCAGTCTCCAATAAACCATCTGGAGGATGGAGCAACCAATGCTAACAGTTTTGTTGTAAAGTGATTTTATGAGGTTATACTCACTATAAACACACATTAAATAACTTTACTATAGTCACATTGCCAAAGAGGGAAAGAAGCAAACTACTCCAAGGCATCAAACATTAATACTTTGCAGTATCAAGAGTATTAATATATATATAGTAAAAAAAGGTAAATATGGCAACTGAGTGGCCTAGCCTGGCTTTTTTAAATTAATGTACAGACAAGACAGTGGTATCACTGGACAAAAAGAAAGAGCATAAAGTATTATAGGGTTTTTTTTATAAGACTATTAAATAACCGTTTTAATATTTTGAAAGCTGTCTTTTGTAATATTTGCTGTAATATCCATTCTCATCAACATAAAAGAAAATTATATACCACAAGAAATTACACACTTTTTAAAGAAGTTTAAACTTGCTGCCTGGCTGACAGGTAACTAATGCTGGGGAGTGCATTTTAGTGCTATGCCATGTCAGGATGATTAGCTTTAGAACCTGAGAAAATTAGACCCAGTCATATTCAACCCCCTCCAGACTTTAGAATTAATATCATAAAACTGCACAGACAACAGTCCTCCAAACACATCCAGCCTGTGAGATATTACATCATCTAAAGGAATGTATACAGAATTAACGACATGTTCAAACATCTGTGTTAGCTTTCATTACCGGCGCCCATAAAACCCTGGGCTATTCTAAAACAATTGTGTTTACATGGTCTCCTTTAGTCGGCCTTTCCTGACGCTGCAAAAGGAGTGTTTGCCTTCCTAACAAACACAAATGCCGCATGAGCGCTCTAACTACACACACACACACACACACACACACACACACACGAACTGCCACGGCCTTCTAGTACTAATCAAAATAAATGCGATACCACAAGTCTGCGACCACTGAATACAGATGTGAAAATAAATTACCCAAGACTGCAGTCTGAACATATGAAAACAAATTACCGCTGATACAGTAGATTTACAATACTATCAGTTTTTTTGGCTGACACCCAGCTGAAAGACACTGGCGCTCCCTCTCATATACAAATAATTGTCAGCTAGTCTGAAACTAATTAACCTGGTGCATTTAATCCCTCTTTTTCCAGACATTATTGAAGTGAGTCTGGCCATTCTTCCAGCTACAGCGAAGGGATTTACAGACATTTGGCCACCAAACACAAGTTCATATTCCACCTGTATACGTGTGTGTTACCCCTCGAGGTTTGGTAAGGATGCCAAAACAATCAAACACAGGTGGTCATTTTCAGAGCTCTTATTTCTGGCATGAAGCAGATATTGAAAATAGTTAACATATGAAGTTATAAATCACGGCCATTTTATTTTATTATTTTCTTCCAAACACATTTTACAACTAGGGCTCATTGAAGGCGAATTAATATCATGAGTCAGTCTCATTTTTATGGAGGCTTTTTCTTTTGAAAACATTAACTTAGGTTGCTATACTCTGTGTTTTCATTATTGTTTTTATATTAACAATGCATTAAATGTTAGTACGTAATGCAAAAGATCCTGATCATACCAAAATGATGAACCTACAGAGAACTACCTTGTCAAAAAAGCATTATAGCATCCATCCATCCAGGATGGAACGTATTGCAGCTGCCATAGGGCGAAAGCCGGGGTACGCCCTGCACAGGTGGCCAGTCTGTTGAAGCCTAACACAGAGAGACTGACAACCATTCAAACTCATATTCATATCACCAATTAACCTAACCCTGCTAAGTGCATGTCTCTGAACAAGCTGGAGTACCCAGAGAGAACCCACGGAGACCCATTCAGTCTTCCTTCTGTGAGGCAACAGTGCCAACCGCCGTGCCACCACGATGCCCCTATATGTTTCAGCAAAATGTGTTGGGTTCATACCCTGTAGTGCTCCAGTTACCAACTAGTTGATCACACGAAGCATTTAGTGGGATGAGACCGAAAACAGAGCTAAAGGTAAGCAAATACAGCGATTAGCATCTATACACATTTTATGCACTCCATTTGCATTTGTTTCACATCATGACCAACATAAATTAGCAGTACGCAACTTAACAATCAATAACATTTGTATACTGGGCAGAATTTCCTTCAAGTCAGCACTAAACACAGAATGAAGAATTAGAATAAGCACCGGAGATGAGTTAACTTGAACGCTAATATGCGATCTAGCGTGGGAAAAGCCAAGGACAGAGACCAAACTGAGCACAAAAATAGCCAAGCAATGACATAATGAAGAACTCAACTTCCCAATATTTACAGTGTTTGCAGTCTTCCAATATTTCATCTTCTTTTGGCTACGGCCCACCATTGATCATCTGCCCCCATCTCACTTTTTCACTGTCCTCACAACATCATCTTCTGTCCAACCAGGAAACTGCATATCCTCTCACACTACATACATACATCATCATTGTCATCTTCCTGTTTTCCTCAGCTCCACGGTCAACATCCCTTGCATTCTTAATTAACAAATTATGTAACTAATTTCAGTTATACCATTATAATTACAATTGTTATTTTATGAATGAGTATTTATCTCTCTGCATTGTTATTAAAGCATAGTAATTCAAAGAACATATGTAATTTGACATCTTTCATTAAAGATTTTTAGAAAATAAGCAAACAGATTAATTAATTTGTTTTTGCATGCCAATTTAGTAGTTTAGGAAATATAAGAGTAAAAAATTCACACTTTGGACTTTAGCCTGGTATTCACATCTTGCTTTACATGTCTTTGTTTACAAGTTGCATCGCATAGCTGTTCCACCCAGTTCAAGATCAATAATTACTTTTCTAAACTCTCACTTCCTTATATGTGAAATATTACAATTACTAGTTTTTATGGTTTCTTTCACTATATAAAAAACATACTGCATCAAATATACCAAGCAGCCTAGTTGGAGTAGAGCACCTAATGCTGAAACAACACTGTAAATCAAAATATTTACATTTTTTTTCCCCTTTGGTTTCAAGTTTCTTTCAGGAAATTCTGTGAGGAACAACTTAGTGGAAGACTGATGGCTGGATCAGTGCAGCTGTGCAACTATCTGTTATGATGATAGGAGCTAAGCCTAAGGTCTAAGCTGTAGATTTACAATTTACCTTCTGACAGAATAAGACACAAGCAGGAGAAACAGAATTCTTCAAAAGCATTTAAAGGAGCCAGGTGAGGGAGTAAGGGCATCTGTGTCAGACACCTCTTGTTTCAGACTACTAACAACCTAAATATGCTGCAGGGGGTAGCGGGAGAGAAGGACGTTTCTATAGTAATGCTAGAGCCGCCGCTGCTGGCCTCATGACCCAAACCCTGATAAGCAGATAAAAACAGAAGGAATTTTATTAAGTGTAACAACTTTTCTCTGAATTTTTTATCACTGTACTGTGATTCTGAGACAAAATAAGCAATTTAGAGATGTTACCTTCTACTTGGGCCTTGTAACACTCACTCTGTTCATCATTTTTCTCTCATTTCAGTCATTTGACAGATTTTACAAAAGTAATCATTTCATAAAGAGAAGAATCATGAGTGAGTATTACGTACTCTGGAGGACACGGCTCAGTATTGCAGTCTCTCTGGTTTTCTGGAGGTTTGCTGTCTGGGTCACAGTAGTTGTTCTGTACCACTGAGTTGTCGTCCAGCCTTTTACAGGCTAACTCCTGCTTCTGAGAACCTGCAGGAGAAAACACTGATCAATAGTGCAGCATGGAGCTCAGCTGATCTGGCACATTAAAACGCCTTCGCAGACACAGAAGCCTGCCAGCCGTGGTGTCGTGCACCGTGTTAAGAGCAGAGATGGGATCATTTTCATTCTGTAGTAAATCCAGACATGTAAATTCGTGATTCTTTGCAGGATATGTTGGCAAATCACTTTTACAGAGCAGAGAGCTCTTTACCTTGGCTTCTGCCAGAAAGAGTGAGGGCTACCGTATCAGTGTCACACCTCCCACTGTGTGTGCGCGCATGCTGCATGTGTTTTGTGTGTGCGCGTGCATGCGTACCAACCAGGAAGGGGTCTGTTTGGACCCTCCTGGGACATATCCCACAGCAGACTTGTCTGGCAGATGTAATGAGATATGGATGCGTGTGTGTGTGTGTGTGTGTGTGTGTGTGTGTGTGTGTTTGTGTGTGTGTGTGTGTGTGTGTTACAGAAAATCCACACATCTGTGCTTGAAGTGAAATACAGTTTAGAGGAATAGTAGAAAAGTTTCACTTGAAAGGCTGTCAAAAGGTGGTTTTCACTGATTTTTTTCACTGTGGTGATATATTGAACAATACTTTATGATTAGCTGAGCTAGCACTATTGAATAGGTGTATGATTAAATAACATTTTAATGATTTAAAGCTCTGCACGGTCAGACACACACAGTAGACACAAATTAGATCATTTGGATCAACAATGCAAAGGCATGTTTATGATGCTGGAAAGCCATGGGTACTTCCCCATCTAAGGAATAGTTTTCTGGTCTGGACTTGGAAATCCTTCCTCAGAAGAACCCACATGCTTATTCAGTCATGCTTTTACAAAATATTACAAACCCTTCCAGGCCACGCTTGACAACTGGGAAGAAACACTATTTATTGTTATATGAAACCCATGGCTTTTGGACTAAAAGGTTTGGTTTAGTCATTCTTAAGGCCATAGTCAACATTTCACTGTGGTTTCTGATTCTGAATGTTTATAGGACAGGCGACTGGGAAGAGCAGCTGCATCTCTACCCCATCACTGGTAAACCAGAAGCTATGCAGAGCAGCTCATTCACATAATTTGCGCTATATTCATTACTTTGGCTATATTATTTAAAATATACATACTGAATTTATTAGAGGGCTGAATCTCCAGGGTAATGATTCTGGCAAACCATTCTCAAATTATGATACTGGGTTTCTGCACAGCGTTCTTCAGCATTTGTGGAAATATTGGTTGGGGAAGATTTACAGAATAACACACAAGATATAAAGTTTTAAACATTTGAAAATGGTTAGAAATATTTAAAGAGAATGTAAACACCCACAGCATGTTATGGTATTTAACACCAAAATGCTTGGAGTGCTAAAAAGGCAACTGACCATCATAGCTCAGTAGAATGTCAGACATTAATCTTTTATGTCTCTTATATTACTTTACATGCTTTGTGCCAATGTATGCTTAATAGCATTTTACAAAATATAATAAATTAAAAGATGCATTTGGAACCATTACAGATGCAAAACTTTAACTATTTTCCACCATGCTGTGAGCATTAAAAGAGATGAGCTATGGTCTAATTTAATATAATAAAATGTACTTAAGCTAAAGAAAAACACAAGTAAATAAGCATTTAATAGGTTAAACGGAGCACCCCGGAGCTCTTTGATACTAGTTTTACATTTGACAGAGGCCAAGCAGAGAACATAAAAAGCACAGGGGAGTTGCAATGGTACCAGCACAGACAAAAAGTCTGTCATCAAAGATTACAGGGTGGACTTGCCTCCGGCACAGGTAGCTGAGCATTCAGACCAGGGCAGGTGGTGCCAGGAGAAGCCCACCTCATTATCACCACTCCCTGTGCGCTGGATGGGGACGTTGAACTTGTAGTGTATTCCAAGGTTCTGCTCTTGAAGGAGGACCTGAAGGGGCATCAGCCAAAAAAATAAATAAAATAATTTGTGGAACCAGCTATAAGTGTTACTCACTGGTATCATGTGCTAGCAAACATCAATTCATATAGACAACAACAGATGATGAGCAGTGTAAGCATTAAACTCAAGTCACGTTTCTATTCATCTGCATTTTCTTTTTTAAATAACCAAGTATCAACAGATCAGGCATCGTATTAGTTTAAGTCAGCCACAGGGTGAAGCTCAGACAGGAATCCCAGAACAATAGCTCGCCACCTTCTGCACATCCTCCTGGCCAATCTGATCTGAAATGTCCTATTTAAGTTGGTTCAGCAAACATATAGTTGTTGTTGTTGCCTCTACAAGCCACACCTCCACCTCAGTTCCTCCATTTCATGTCATTTATGTCATCTCTGCCTTAATCAGGCGCATGACCATTATCACTGATGACTTCCCTGTTTTTATGTGGACTTGCTGATATTCTCTGGAAGGGTGTAGGAGATTTTTTTGATGTTCTATGAGGCTCATGGTGAAAAAACAAGTCATTGTAATGTTTGGTGTTCAAAAAGTGTTTTTGTCGAAGCATGTATTGTAACAGACTTTCAAAATAAAATGATGGTCATATAGATGATGTAAGAACTAGATTTGGAACAAATGAAATGTTATATTACCATGACAACCAGATTTTCAGTGGTAGCACCCAACGCTTCTAAAGACTCTGGTTCATCAGAGGGCCTCTTGTAGTGGAAGGCTGTCCCTGCAATCTCAAACTTCCTGGGCCAGTCAATGGTCCACGCTCCATTGATGTAATAATCATCCCCTTCAGATTTCAAAGCTAGGAATTCAGATGACAAGAAAAGTTTTCAGAATGCTGAAATCAAAAACAGACAGGAACAGTAGCTGGAGACAATCATTTGTTTTGATGTCACTGCCATTGTTTGTCTTCTTCATCATCCTCAACCGCACCCCAAAAAGTCACTGACAACTCGCTATTTGGACACACTCAGCAGAACCAGACTCATGCTGCCAAGAAAGACATTCACGTGCACCGACACGTATGTGCATCTAATTTAGGAAGAGAAGAAAAGCACAGTTCAGGTGAAAGCTTGGACGGATCTCATGAATACCACTCTGTCTGGTTGTCAAAACAAAAGCTGGTCTCCAAGCACAACAGATCTGAAAATATCCACTTTCTCTGCATTGAAATAGGGCCAAATTGAGGAGAAACAATCCAACCGCTCACTCTTCTGACTCCTTGGCTCACGCTCTGCAGATCTCCCCCTCTGTAGCATTCACGCAGATTCGAAGAACAATAGTTTACTGCTCTTAATCATATCACAATCTTCTGCTCCAGAAATGCGCTTTCAACACATCTGGCACTGATTGTGGGCATTGTGACATTTGAACAGTGCAGTTTACGCAAGTCTTTATATTTATACTGTTTGACTAAAACTTAATAAAGATTTTTTTTAAATGCTAACTTTGCTGACCTAAATAGCAAGGACTCAGACAATGCTACAAAAGAAAAATATTATCATTATCATTGAGGTCACAGATCAACTGCATAACAAAGTAAATAATAGATCAAGTCTAACACAACAGCCAAAACTGCACTCTTTAAACTTTGATATATAGACATCATATCCCCCATAACCCCAGGGGACCAGGCAGCTGTCACCATGGCCCTGTAAATCTGGTCTCTGGTTCAAAGTATAACTTAAGCCCTCCATTAACACCATCCCCTATAAATTCAGCACACAGTCAGATGTCTTTCTCGCTTTAATCAAAAAGTGGCTTAATTGAACAGTTTTTTTCTTAACATTAGGCGACAGGACATTAAATGATGGGATCATCCTTTTGTTTTTGACAAAGACACAAGGAAATTACTAGAAATGTGGTTGACACAGAACTGAACAGATAATAGGAAACAGGATGACATTGCAAAATGCCAAGTCATCACACTGCAGTGATTTATAAGGCTTAAAGTGATTGATTAAAAGTAAAACAAGATCAAGTTTCTACGTCCATACTAGGGAGGCTGTGAAACTATACTGGTGACTCTATATGGTCAGATTAGATGACTCTGAAGAAAGCCATGAGTCAATAAAATTCTCCTACATTCAACAAGTTTTCTTTAGAGCTTTAACCTCTTCAGATTTCTGCACTTCTGCACACACCTTAGAAACAGGTGGAGCTGTGCCAGAAACCTGTAGTCTGTTTACAAATACAGACAGGTCACGGAGCTACCCCACAGGTTTTCTAAAATTTAATGATCTTGCATTAATTTGAAGAAATTAAATTAGATCATTTGAAAAACCTTACTGATGCTCTGAAGGTATGCCATGAAATGATGTTGGCTCTATGAAGAGGTGATTTTCTCCATGAAAATGAACAATGATTTGAAACAGATTAAAAATCTTCTATCAGGCTAGAGGAGTCTTTAAGGACTCATTAGAAGAGCTGCTAGGTATTTTTAAATTACCTCATAGGCTTGTTAAAACATGCCCATTAATCAGCTTTTAGAGAAGCCAGGCGTTTTTTACTGTGACCCAAATGTTTGCACTGGTCAGCAACTTTTCAGAAGTTGTCTGTTAGAGAGATATAATCTAATTTTTCTTACAATTTCTTAGTATATCCTGTCAGGCCAAGTCAAGATGTGTTAAGGTGGGATATCAGTTTCATCAGCTATCCAGAATATTATGACGTATAGGTTTTCTCGTTTCAGCATTTGAGTACATATCAATTGATGTGTCCAAAACCAAACATCTTTGATTATTTAACAATGTAGGCTACCAATAGAAGAATGGCAAAGGGTACACCTAGAAAAATGTTTGCCCCCTTCCTGATTTATTAGTTTGTTGCATATCTGTCACCGTTGAATGATTCAGATCATCAAACAAATTTTAATATAACACAAAGATAACCCAAGCACATACAAAATGCAGTTATCAAATTGTGATTTTATTTATTAAAGGGGAAAAAGCTGCCCAAACCCGCTGTATGAAAGACTAATTGCCCCCTAAACTCAATAACTGAATAACTGGTATGCCACACACAAGAAATGAAATCAACCATTTGCCATTAGTAGCACTGAGTCTTTCACATTGCTGTGATATAGCCTTCATTTTTTTCCTGTTTTTAGCCCTTCAGAGGTAGACTTGCTGGTGTGTTTCAGATCATGGTCCTGTTGCATAACCCAAGTGTGTTTTAGCTTCAGGGCATAAACTGATAGCCAACATTCTCTTCCAGGATTTTCTGTGGAGAGTAGAATTCATTGTTCCATCAGTTCTATCAGAAAGTTTTCCAGGTTTCGAAGCAGCAAAGTGACCCCAGATCATCGCAATACCACCACTAACCTAGTAGCATATTATGAAAAAAAGAGCCAACCAACGAGCTAACATCATTTCCGTCTCCAGAGTTAGAACTGTTGCACTGAATATATTTCAGAAACATTATGGCTGTATACCAGCAGTAAGTGTGGTGATTTTGAATCAGTGCAAACCTTAAAATGCTGATGCTAACATACATGCTGTGATAGTGCTAGCAGTTAGTGATTTAGCAGGTAACTATAGGTTACCAGCATAGCTGGACTGGCCATCGTGCATACTGGGCATTTGCCCGGGCCAATGGTGATTTTTTGTTTTTATGGGCCGATGGGTTTTTTGGGTTTGTTTACATAACGGTATAAACAATGAAAGGTGGTGGATTGGCCAGATGCTGGCAGATGTGTAAAAATAACTCAATTGCTTGGTGGTGGCTATGGCAGAGCTTCCACAGATTCAGTAACATGAGCAAGTGGTGGAGGCCAGCAGGTGGATGAGGGAAAGGGAGGCAGGAGGAGGAGAGTCCCGAGGCGGCCACCGGCCGAGTATAAGAGGGACTGAACTCCAGGTGAGAAGTTATGAATTGCAGTCTATCTGGATCAGATATAAACCAAGTTTAGATATAGTTTATTTTTGTTGTGCTGACTTTTTACAGTCAGTTACAATAACTCGTACTGCGTACTAGCTAGAATGACGGAGTTTCTGGGCGGGTGTTTTATTTTATTCATAAAGTTAGTTATTAGAGAACGGAATCGTCTCGTATTCAGAGAAAATATTACGCGTTTCGTATTGAGGTGAAAAGGAACGCGATTTGTCCGATACTTCAGCTAGAATAAAAAAAAGACAATGCTGGAGCTATTCTGGGTCTTTACGCTACACAGCTGCCTCTTCTTCTCTCATTCTCTCCACCTCCCTCTCCTGTTGCTACTTCAATCATGAAACTGATCAGTGATCAGCTGATCGGCTTTTCTGACGGAAGTCCCGTCTCTCTTGCTTTTTTGTCGCCCACTTTGTGCCAGAAAGAGGAAACTAGCGGAGGTCGCGCTAAACAACAGCAGCACTTAAGCTTGATCAGCTGCTGTTAGAATTTATTTAATATTACTTTCTAGTATCAGCTGATGTTTGCTGGAGCCACAGCTGTAAACCTGCTGGTCATGATATAGTTTGGTTATCTGGTGAGAGGGAAACATGAAGATGAAACCAGGAGATGTCCTTACTGAATGATCAGAGCTGAACAGGTGATGGAGAAACAGGTTTACCTTTAGGTGACATGAATGAGTTGAAGGGAAGTTATGAACTGTTTCTGAGAGACAAATCACACCAGGATCCTTTTCTAAGTAGCTGACAGCTGGTAACTGTGCAGGGGCGGGTCTAGTAAAGTCTTGCCAGGGGGGACAGGTAGGGCATTAACAGGGAAAGGGGGCACAAAAAATACTTTTCTTTCTTATTCTCATTTAAAATGTCTCGCTTTTAATAAATAATTATCTGAATCTTACAACCAAAGTTTTCATTTGATGTAAACTGTATAGAAATCCATTATTGTACATAGTAATTTTTTTTCAGGGTCCCATCATAATTTCTTCAGAAGTAGCTAAGTACTGTATATGATG